TAAAAGAGAAAGTCAGAAGAAGCATAGCTGCCATACTAATATTTTTTTCATACAATAGGAGGTAAATTATATACCTAATGGACTACCGGTAAAAGTATTTGAGGACAAAGCAATATCACAGCTCTCCTGTGACTTCTAGATAGTACATATAAAGACATAGAACCATTGGAAGCTCTACAATTAAACTTCCCAAGGAACCTGTTTTGGTTCCTCGTTGTGTCCCTAACACAACCCTTCATGCTGAAACTGAAATGATTTCAATTAAAACTTTTGTCCTAATAGCACACGTTACTGATTTAAATTACATTTTAACTGAGGTTGTCCAGCTTCTTAGACCTTTTCCAGACAAATTCCAGATTTTTTTTTAGTGAAAACTGCATACTGCCACCCTAAGCCATTGTGGTTTATCTCCCAAGGTATTGATTCCAATGGGATTTGACCAGGCCAAAACATCTTTCAAGCAATATGCCAGAGATTCGGCCATGCAAAATTATCGTAGACAGGCTCCACCATATATTAATTTAGTATATGCACAAAAAATGTTGTTCCTGCACGTTACCTCTGCAATATTCTCCCCTAAAACACCACAAAAACTTTTATTCTTGCTTACTAATGTCCTTCCCTCTGCCCTCCTGGAGGGGAGGTTGGTTTATTTATTCATTTGTTTATTTTACTTATTTAAAATATTTATATACCTGGCCATCTTTCCCAATCAAAGTTCTATAAAATACCTAAAGCTTTTTCTTACGGTGAGGAAGAAATTGAAACTGTGGGTCATGTGCTTAGCCTTTTTTATAGAAATGTATGAGATGGGTATATTTCCCCCATGTAAAATACAATATCTGGGCAGGCCAGAGGCTGATTTTCTTTTGCTAGCTGACCAAGTGGCAAGGATTTCAAGCAATGTATCATGATTCTGGATCAGAGCTGATTAAATGTAAACTACTTCTTCAAGTGAGATAATGCTAAGCCTTCACTAGGCTTCCATAACTCAATATCCTTCCTTCCACTGACCCCCACTCTTTTCATTTTCTCCTTTTAAATATACAGACCATTTTGTTTTATTTTGCTATTTTATTATAATTAGTTGCACCATAATTGTCTTAATATTAAGGGCTTTAGCAATTATTAGACTTAATATAAATTAACATAGCTTTACCTCCTTATAAATTCTAGAATTACCTATGTCCATTTATAGTTATCTATCCTAGTTATTTATAGCATTTGGATTATTCATTGTAAAATTAATTGTAGTTTTATGGGATTCTTTTGCATTTTAATTCCTATACTCTATTTTTTTTCATTAAGAGTTTTATCTTTATTTTATTCCATCAATATGGCTTTTAGTTTCTGATTCTACTTTAGAGTAATTATTAGGTTATTAATTCTATGCTGGTTTATGTCCAAAATAAAATTGATTGATATTTCTCAGAGAAGCAAAATTGTTCTGTCCTATGTGACATTTCATTAAAAAAAATCTTCTTTCCTACTCATTATGAAGTACCATTGTTACCATTTCAGTCCCTAAAGCTAAGTAGATACTAGTCAAGTATATTCAGTTCTAGCATTCTGTGTTATTTTTGACCCATTCTTAATACAACTTTAAATGACTAGCAACATAAATTAACAAAACAATAGAGAAGCCTACTACAACAGCAGAAAAATATACAAAAATTTAAGTTTGATAAAACACAACAACAAAATTGGAAATTGAAGTTCTTCCATAAAGTGAAGGTTTTTTTAACAAATTTCCAGAAGGCTGTTAAATGGGAAATGAGACTTTCCTCTGAAGGGAACCTAAGCAGTCTCTGAAAATGTTCCTTCCCTAATCCCAAACGAATAGGCTTCACCGGTTGATTGGAAGTACAAGAGGTTCTCCAAAGTTGATGGATGCATTAATTTGGGAGATTAGAAAACTGTGCAACTTTCATTAAGAAACACATTCTAGATATGCCTATTGTTGTTAATAAATAGGTTACAGTATTTTGGATCAATCATAAATTCCAAAAAATCTTCAAAGGCAGACCTACAGAGTATTTATTGCAGTAATCCAGTTGCGATATAATAAAAACATTTATAATATTGACATGTCCAGATTTGCATTCTTTGTGATGCAGTTGGTGGCCCAGTCTTAGGTAAATTTTTCCTGTGTACCATCAGGTTCCAAAAACCTGGTAAAATGTATGCTTTCAAGAAGAAATACAGATTGGATCCCAGTTCTGGATCAGGTTTATTTATTAAGAGCATTTCTACTTTGCTCCAGGTTGTCGATCCACATTTTATATTTAGGCAATAGTTCAGGCTCTCAGCACCCTCATTGGAATAATATGGAAAAGTGAGAGTGTCATAGTGACATTAAGTTTCTCAAAACACCAAATAATCCTCTGAAACTTAGACATAGATGTGGAATGCAGGAGGACAGTATAGAACTCTGTGGATCTTTATTGGCCAATGTATAGGAAGTTGAAATTTTCAACAGTATCTTCCTAGACCCTCTTTCCAGAAAGGACTGAAGTTACTGCAGAATATTCCATGCAAAGCTGCCTATCTAGAAAGGCGAATGAAAAAAATAATGAAACGGTAAGAGTATAGCCTGTATATTAGGAACCTTTAACACCGTTGCATTGAGACAGTTAAAAAAAGAAAAAGAAAATATAAGAACATTGATAATTGGCCCACCAAATTTGTAATACCACATCTTGCACTTAAGGTTTCGTAAAGAGTGGGTGAACAGATATTTTTTGATATCAATAGAGGGAGAGCTGATTCCCCTTGAGAATAGTATACACAAATTCTTATGTTCAAGATTTTCGGATTCACCTTTGATTCATATAAGAATTCAACAGCATGGGAAACAATGTATAGAGACTCAGGTTAATGCTCAGATCAATACAATTTATTTTTAATACATTTGTATCCAATCTTTCTTCTGGGACAAGAGTGGGCCACATTGGGTCCCAAGAGCCCCACTGGGTTGCAACACCAAAATTTAGTGGCAAATCACTGAATATTGCAGGTTCAGTTTCCGGCAGGAAAAAAAACCCCTCACTGTGGAAAACGCCTTATTACCCCTTAAGAAAAAAAAAGGACAATCAATCCCCCCCTCTTCCCCCCCCAAAGTTAAATGCAGCCGTCTGTAAAATAATTTTCTCTCTTGCTCTACAATAATAGCCCTACTAGTGAAGTAGATGATATTAAAGATAACGAGTAGCCAAAGAAGCTCAGAAATCATAATAACAGATGGAAGGATTTGAACCTGTCCCACTCAACTTATTTCTGTATATCGTTTCTTTCTGTTTTGTAATAAAATGTTTGGGGAAGAATGCTTGTTAAATACTATACTTTTCTGTAGATGCAGGCAATCTTTCAGATTTGTTCCCATAATTTTCTTGAGATGGTTCAGTGCAGTATGGACAATTTGAAGGTATTCCATCATGTAGCACTTTTTAAAACATATATATATATATATACACATATATATGTGTACTGTACAGAGGATAAAAAGAGCACTTATTTTTCTGTACTTCATTCTATAGTATATTCTGCTTTAAGACCAATAACTTTATATAGTTAACTATATTTGTGAAAACTTGTTTCCAATTAAAAATGGAATACATCTGACTTTGTGATAAAGGCACATACAAGATTGGCCAAAGGGTGTAAAATGCACTTTGGTTTTCATTGGGGAAAAACAATTATGGCAACAAAATGTCTTGGGTATTAAAATATATCATAGCTAAGTAGATGAACATGTCTTCACTTTCATGTCTATTAAGAAATTTCCAGATAACTATGACAATAATGAGCAATATTGTTAATGGCAGTTGAAATATGTACGCATCTGTGTTGTATATATTTAACTGCATATTTAGTTAAATATATGCTCTAGTGAGATTAACAGAATTGTCTCTATTATACAGGTTCTAGAGGGTACATAGGTTTTTTAAAAAAATTCTTTTCAATTTTAAGACATTTAGGAAACTTTTACATTTTGTTTTGTGGTTTCCACAGATACAATCATTTTTTTTAACAATTCGACAGAAGTACATTTTTATTAACTACAGGATTGGGACTAGACATGTACAAAACATTCTGTGCATGAAAGATGGTTTCAGGTACACCATATCTAAATTGAAACATGCACATTGGCCCATGCACAGAATGAATTTTTGTTTTTTGTCCAAGAAGTAATTTAAGGGGTGGTGAGGAAACCAAGTCCATAAGGAATTGACGGAAGGGAAAAGAGGGAAAGACTGAGAAAGCCGAGACACTGTGGGATATGCCTCATTGTGACATTGGCAGCAGCAGCTAAAGGAAGAGAAGGAAAATGTTGGAAAATCAGGAAGGTGAGCAGGCCAGTGGGACAGGGAACAATGAAAAGAAGAGGTGGGTGATGTTCCCCAGCCTTGATCTACTCACCCTATCCAGATTTGTCTGAAACAGAACAATTGAAGTGTTCCAAGTTTCAATCCTATTTAACTCTGTCTGGCTTTGAATGGTTTAGCAGAACATCCTATCTGACCCTCCTGTAATACAGTGGTTTTGCTAAAAAAATTTTTTTTTAAAAAAAAACCTTTTTCACGCACATCTCTATTTGCATCAATGAAATGCACTTGAATACATCTGCCTTATGAGATTTCAGTTATTTGTTGTAATTTTCAACAGCTATTTTATTGTTTATAACTATATAACTGGTATTGCCAACTACTTTTGCTATTTAATTTACTAAATGCTCATTGGTTTAATATACCCAGGATTGTATTTTTATCCATTTTGTAGCCATTTTTAACACCTTTAATGGATACCAAAGTGAATATGGTCTGTGCTTATACTTACAAGGATCTCAAATGTAGCGGTCCTGATTGTTCAACACAGCAAGAAAATTCACTTTCACAGTCAACAAGTCATCTTACTCAGTTGAACACAAAAGTTAAATAGTTTGTAATTTCAATAGTAGGAAGGAAAATACAGTACAAATTACTAAAAAATACTAAAATATAGAATTGTTTTCAGGCATCCTTGCTACATTAATCGCAGCAGTCACCTGAAATTTGAAACTTTTAATAAAAAGTTCTTAAATATAAATTATATGGCAAATGTACAATACATTGCTTATACAGTCTTTTAATCCAGTGTTCTGTAGTACTCCAGCAACCAGTACAGTTGCCTTCCTTTGTGAGAAAAAGTAACTACCCCAAGTCTTCCAAATTTCTTACTATCATGAATGTGAGTGATCTGAATCAGGTATACCACTGTCTCTGTAGCTTCTGTTACTACTGTTTTCACTGTGGTTGTTTTTATACAGATTCATCCCATTAGGTGGAAATATGGTATGTATTACAAACTCCTCTTTAGACACTTGCTCATTATTCAGAGAGATCATCTGAAAAGAAGTCTCCCTGATTTCTAGGATGGAATTGTCCTTCTTAGTTCCAGCCTCAGCATAGTCATCTTTTCTTCGCCGTCCTTTGCTATAGGTACAATTTCTTGAGAACAAGGAACCATTCCTGTGGACATACCAACATACTAAAGCAAGCAATGCTATAGCTACCAGAGCCACTGCCCCTCCTATGATGGCAGCTAAGGGCAAGTTAGAGTTTTTGAATGGTTCTTTCTCTTGTTCATGGTTTAGGGTTGTTGTAGGATTGTACATTCTAAGAGGAGCAGTTTCAGTCTCTATACAGACAGGAGTTTCATCATACAGATAGATGTTACTGGTTTCCATGGGAACCATGCATACACGGTATGGGGAATCTGGCTCAAGTGCAGTGAGCAGGTAATCATTTCGGTCCCCTGTAACAATGGTTTCAGTTATAGATCCAAAGGCTGGGCTGTGACCCATTTTGAGCCAGCTAAGTCTCAGAGCAGTCATGGGTAGTGCAACTTTCCAAGAAATGTGAATAGTCTCCGTGCTTACAGATTTTACAACAATGGTAATGATTTCCTGTGCTGGGGAAGCTGTTCTGTAATTTTTATGTGGATTAACAGTCTTTATTTCAGGAGATTTGGTCACAGAAATGGGCCAGTGTCCTTGCACAGGATATAAAGTGTTTGGTATTGAAGCAGTAATTTGGATAGTGCTTACAATATCTTCATCTTTGCAATCAAATAGCTCTTTGTTGAGATCTTTGATTGCCATGCCCCGCACTTTTTCTGGTGCTTGACACATCAGTCCACGTACATTAACTTTGAGAGGCAGGGTCTGTAGCCAATCACGAACCCATTTCATCTTGCACCCACAGCGCCATGGATTGTTTCGAAGAAACAACTGGGTTATATTGTCTAGGTCATCAAAGACACCCTGAGGTAAATTACTGAGATTGTTATTTGACATATCCAATCGATATAATTGACGTAGATATGCAAAAGCATTAGGTGGTACACGATTGATATGGTTTTCTTGTAGATAAAGCTTTCTCAGATTTGTGCCTGGCAAATTTATTGGAGCTGCTGTAAGAGAATTACGAACTAGTGAGAGTTCAGTTAAATTGACTAGATTTGTGAAGACCTTCTCTCCTAATCCATGATTGTTTAAGAGATTTCCATCTAAAACTAAACGTTTTAAATTTGTAAGATCTTGAAGGGACAGCTCTGAAATTGTGGAAATACGATTATCATCCAAGCGCAGCTCTTCTATTGTTTTAGGCAAGCCCCAGGGAATGGTGCTAAGGTGATTTCGAGAGAGAAAAAGTAGTCTGAGATAAATATTATCCCGGAAGGCTCCATCTTCAATACTAACAGCAGAAACAGAATTATCATCCAAATGCAATTCTTCTAGATAAGGAATTTGTGACAGTGAATCATAAGTAATTGTCCTTATGTTATTTTCTTGCAAATGCAATTCTTTCACATATTTTGGAAGGTTGATAGGGAATTCATCCAAGCTGTTGTGATATAAATAAATTCTCTCTACTTTTATTAAGGTTTTTAACTCGGAAGGAATTCCAGCATTATTAATTTGATTGTTCTGAAGGTAAAGAGTTGTAGCATCCCCTGGAATCCCAGTTGGAATAGAAGTCAAGTCACGATCATTGCAGTAAATGAATCCTGCATCACAGCGACACGCAGAAGGGCATAGTTTGGCACTGGCAAAATGAGGTGCCATTTTCAGCAACAGCACTATCTTTGTCCAAATAAGGATGAAGCTCCAGGTTACACTGATCATGGTCAAGTTGCAGTGAGATTTGCACACAAACTAGTGCTTAATTTTCAATAACCTAAGAAAGAAAATCAGATTAATAGTAGAATGCATAGGGTAAGCACTATTTTGAAATAAGATAGAAATGATCTAAAAAAATAGGATGCATATTTTTCCAGGAAAAGGTGCTATTGTATTCATATGTGTGTGTGTACATAACACACATATAGATACATACATAGGATTTCTTGAATTACAGTAATGTGAGAATGGGTTTCCTTATAAGAAATAACAAAGCAGGGGCTTAATTAATTCCAATAAAGTTTATTCTGTTCCTTGTTATCTCTGGATTTTATTCTGCTGTGCTTTAGAATTTTATGTTTCAGAATTTATCCTGTCATTTTGGCAAAAGCCAGAATAATCATCTTCCCTAAGCCAGAAATTTTAGAGAGCTGTATATGATAGGTCACCTCACAATTCCTTGGAATAGAGTATTTGCTTCACATATTGAGATGTGGGTTTGAGGATAATAAATTTGTCACTTATCACATGGATTAATTAAATTAGTAACTTTCAGAAGTGTACATACAGGCAGTGATGGGATTCAGCCAGTTCGCACCACTTCAGCAGAACCGGTAGCTAATTTTTTGTTGCCCAGGCCCAGAATGGACTTCCAGAAGCAGCATCCACTCAGAGAACCGGTTGTTCACATATTTGAATCCCACCACTGCATACGGGTGATCATAGGTCTATCTATGTGGTCATTACAATTGACAGAGACTTGATAGCACATAATCAATATACAGGTGAATAACATTTCATGAACCATCATGAAATGTGTGTAGCAGTCCCATTCATTTAGCTGAAACATCTCTGCAAACCAAATCCATATTGCTTTCTATTTTGCCCTTGGTCACATGCTGCATACAAACCAGGAAAAGTTAAACTTTAGTGACAGCGATGCAGCTTTTATTTATAATAGAGATATGAACATGCATTAAACATTTTTTGTCGAACATCAGCATACTGATGGCTTTTAGTAATGTCCATATCTAATGCATTATAATTATCTTATTTGTTATAAACTAATACTAGTTAATTTATTTGTTATACTGCTCCATAAAATTAGCAAGGAAAAACTGAAACAAGTTTATTAAAATGTTTTTTTCAGGCATATTATTATTACAATAATATTCCAATCCAAAGATTCCTATACTACACAGCTGCTAAGCTAGCTATTTTAGCAAACAGCACTGCTGTACAAATCCTACAGTAAGGCCTGAAACCCAGCTTCTTTAGTACTGCTTGCATCAAGGTTTTGTATATAAGGAAATATTCTTTAATTTCACATGGTCAATATTTTATCTGTTTCTTGATACCATTTTCTAACATGACAATGGACCTTGTACTAATTGGCAAAATAATTTATTATTATTGTTCTTACCTTATTTAAATATACGAGGGAATAGTTTGTGCTTACTAATCCAATGGACATCCAGTTTTCCAGAAAAAGGTTGACTTGGGAGAAATAAATTGTTTAGTTCTCATAACTGTACTTCTTTTACATCAATACATTAAATTATTCTTATGGGTAAGAATATATTTCCAGATGAGCTCCATTATATTCAGTAAGTATTTTCTATGAAGTTTGAACATGGAACATAAAAACATCCAGTTATTAAAAGTTTTACAGTCCTGTTACTCTGCTGGAAGAACAGTTCTAAGAAGAAGGAGAGGATTTTCCTTCTTTTAAGTCTGCATGTGAAGAATTTGTTTTGTTTTGGTTTAATATCCTTAATAAAAATGGCATTCTTTGTACTTCTCAGAAGCTTTTCTGCATTATATAGCTAGAGATGGTCAGTTCCATGTGTATAGAATTCTTTGTGGTATAAGGCTTAAATTATGATGGCTTCTTCATTAAATCGAGGATCTGTTTTTGGTCCAGAATCATTCAGCTGTAAACCTTAAGCAGCAAGTATTTTCTGATAAATCCATGCTTGCTGGGCTCTGTGTTTTATTTAGAACTCGGTCAGGATTTCCAGTTTAGAGTAGTTCCTCCTTCTGTCTATATTTCCAGGTGCCCACTCCTTTTGGCAGAATTTGATTTTAATTCAGAGGCTTTTCTTCTTGAAGAAATAAAATTTCTAATTGAAGTAACAAGGAATTTTCTCAGATATTTCACTCAATCCTTGCCTAAAAAAAATAAATAAAAATAAATTAGTTGTCATCAGGTAGAATTTATTAATGGTCTTGTTCAACCTTTTTAAAACAAAAATCACCTCAGCTATTGCATGTAGAGTCCAACGAAAACATGACAATGAGCTTGAGTTAACAGAGCACAAGGAATCTGATAAACACGACACGTGACTCTAAAGATGCAGATTAAGGCCAAGGTTCTTGGATGACCTGCATGCTTCTATTTATGATTTTCTACTTTCAAGGAAAAGACAAATATCTGTAGTTTTAGATTATTCAAAAGCATTTTTTTTATTCAGCAGATCTTTTGCAATGTTGTGCTGGGCTTAATATTTTATCTTGTTGAATTCCTTCTGAATTCTTTGGAAAGTACTTCCAAAGCAGCCAATAAGGTAGAATATTTCTATATGGTACAGTTAGATTGAAAAACACACTACATTTTCTATATCTTGGTAATATTTATAAATCTACTTATATGAATAAGACTACAATCTGAAACACACTATGAAATAAACTCAAGTAAATTTAATGGGACATTTTTAAAATCATAATGCACACCGAGTTCTCCCATTGCAATTTCACATTTCTAATCCCAAAATACTAGGTGATTATGCTGATTAATATTTTTACTGTTAGCCATTTATACACATTATAAATATCTGTAGAGTTAAAAGACTAGTCAAGGTTTTATATCTTTTAAAAATATTTCTGCAAAATGAATCAAAATTGCTTAGATTATGATTTCAAAACATTTAAAATTGTTAGTTATGCACGTACTAACCTAATGATTTGATTATTTTAACAATGATGAAAACAGATTCTTGAGATATGCAGATTCATTGTCATTCAGTACATTAAATAAAGTATCAATACAAAATATTTTGGAAAAAACAGTAAAAAATATTTAGATTAGTTATGGCCAAATGAAATGAATAATAAAGCTTAGAGACTAGAAAGAAAACAGAAAACATTGCTCACTTCACTAGCAAGTTGTCTCAATTGTTAAGCTATATAACTGTTGGGAAAAACATTAATTTGATATTTATAATTAATTCATTCAATTTATAATCAGTTTTTAACTCTGTAATCCACTTTTGTTAATGGATACATTTCTTTCAATATTTCATAATATTTATTTGTGAAAAATAGTTCCAAATAAGTTTGGCACAGAGAGCAAATTGGGTGAATATTTATATAAAAAGATAACAGGAATAAGAACTGCCTTTATACAAAATGTAAAGCTTTAATATAATGAACAAGAAAGATAGATTTAATGAGGGGTGTTTTAAAGAAAACAAGAGAAAAGTATACAAAATATATTTTTGCTTAAGTAGAAGCATTGTATGCTTGCTTCTATGAACTGAATAATGTATGTCCATTTTCATGCTTATAATTTTTCTTCCAATGTATTGTTTAATGTTCAATGTCTGATGTACTGCCACTATTATATTAACCATAGTGTTGGATTAAAATGAAAGCAGTATAACAGTATAATTCTTGTATTTATAAATTTTTCCTCAAAATTATCTGAAAATAAGAAGATAAAATAAGTCTCCTTGAGGGAAAGAAAAGATTGTTTCAAAATGTGGATTCTCCCATTTCTCTTAATTAGAAAGAGGTACAGTTTTCTTTACTTTTCCTTTAACCTATTATCCTGGAATTCCAAGAGATCCTTTATGTTTCAAGTTAACTTCTGAGAACAATGTGTTTGCATAATAAAGGCAAGTGATCTGTCCAACAGAATAGAAGTTTGCTGCCTTGTTCAGTGCTGCCTCTTTTTCTGGTGGTGTCCTTATATATTCTTTGACATCAGGTCATTTATAGCTGAGTTTGCAAGATGAAAAGAGAAATGTCTCCCACTGTTAAGAGACACTGTGGCCAGGTTTTTTTGTAGCATCAAACTGAGGCCTACAAATTTGAAAGGGAACATTAATTTTGAACAAAACAGGAAGAAAATGAAATCCTGGATGCACTAGTCCACAACAACCCTATTTATGTGTAAAAAGTACTCATTATTTTACTGCATTGCACAAAAAGATGTTTTCCTTCTAAGTATTTGGGTGAATTATTCTTATTGTCATATACTTTTATCTAGAACTATGTGACAGTATTCTAGGAAATGGAGTATTCATGCACATTCTAGACAATATATGGCTGTATATATGTGCTCATTATTGATATTCTGATATGGAAGACTGAATTCATTTTAGCAGCAGTGTTTTGGAAAAAAACATATCTTTTAGCTGTCAACATGATAATAACTAGAATTTACCTAGCTGTACAAAACTAATTGTTTTGTATGTCTATCTGATTTATGGTTTAGTACTTGTAGATTAAGAATAATGTCTCCTCATATTTTGTCTTCAGGTGTATTAATTCCTATATGGATTTTGATTAATCATTCTAGAATCACTAGTAAGCTTTTCTTGTTATAAAACAGTCTTATCAGAATATGTTATTTAAATGTGACTTAAAATAAAATGCATTAAATTGCTTTCTTAAATTATTACACAGTTGATAATAATGAAAAGCTTTCTAATTATACTGCCTGTGAGCTGATTTATACGAACATAGTATTTCAGGAAGCTAGCTCATTTTTTAAATATATATATTATGCAAGGAGGTTAAAATATCGTGCTTGGGGCGAAAGAGTGTAAAGCATTCTTGAGAAGTAATCCTCTGTATCTCTCTCTTATTTCAATGGTGTTTTCTTTGGCTTATGCAAATAAGCAGCACATAGAGCTATTGTTTCTCTCTGAGATATGAGGATTTGCTCACAGTTTTCATTCAATTGTTTTAATCATAAATTCTGATGCCAATGGCTTTCCCAAAAGTTTAGACTTCTAT